TGCAAGAGAAAGTATTCCATATAAGCATTGCCTGCTGATATTGTGTCTCGGTAATGGTCTCCCCTGTCAGCGAAGAAAAAATGATTCTCTAGGAGGTAGTCTTTGCCTCAGACAAGACGTTAAAGTCTGTGATATACTCATAGGGGAAATACCCCTTCCTCTGGAGTAATGCCATTTGTTCCTTAGTTGTGAGAGGGAAGGAGTCTTTTAAAATTGTCAGGTCCATATCGGAACCAAGAGAACTAACCAGACCGTCTAACGAGCAGCTGAGAAAATGATACGAGTCGAGAAACGTGACTCCGTTCAATTTCACAAGAGGAAATGTTTCTTCCGTACGAGGAATCACCTGAATATCCTTCGCCAATCCATTCTTTCCATCTGCAATCCCCTTCAATATGAGTTTCAGATCGTTTTTTCCACTGTTGTGGATAATGACTTGGAAAGATTCTTTGGCATTTTTGAATCCTAGATTGCATGCGGGATGCGTGGCTCCTCTGATTTCACCCGTCACATGACAGTGATCTATGTCTTTTTCCTCTCCGGTCACAAAAGGATTACCGCAAATTGCACAATCCGATTGTAAAAGAATTACTACTCTTTCCAGCTCGGTGACAACAAGAGGTTTCTTGTGTTGAATAACGTATTCTTTCGCTGCATCCCTCATTTCAAAAATTGTCGTGAGAAAGTAAGAGACACAATCCTCTCCGATGTGGAACACGTCGTTCCAAACATGTCCAGAAAAAGCCATCACTACCAAATGATAGCAAAAAGGTAGATGTTTTGCACTCGACCTGAACTTCCCACCTCATCGCATCTTGAGAGAATGCACTCAAAATTGGCAAATACGACTATGGGCAACCGGAGGCATTTTTTAAAGGTATTAAACTCCAATGTGGACTTTTCTAGTGTCGGCGTGTGAATTGCCGTAGCTGCGTGCGTCAAGCACAGACGCCTATGCTTGTCGTATGAGTTCTTAGAAGAAGGTCCTGCTAGGCATCGATCGCAGTAGTGCTCACGCCATTTCTTCCGAAAGTGATTCATGAATCCTCTCAAGTTCTTGATTAGAACATAGTGACCTTCTTCGAGCAGCAATAAAAACATCCGCGGCATGCTCTCAGGCATGGTTGAGGCATATATGATGTACACCCTATCTTGTTCCTCTTTCGCCCATTCATAACCTAAGATCGTGATGGCACGGCCGTTTCTTTTCTCAAAGTGAGGCACTTGCACTGGTGAAACGGGAAAAGTGAGTCCCTGGACATCGTATTCGGCAAAATACTTCTTGAAAACCTTAACGTTTCCAAAAGTTCCGTCTTTGGGAGGATGATCAAACATTGCAATGCAATAAAGAAAGCACTGATCATCATCGTTATGTGGATTGATGAGAGATTGCATGGACTTGAGCGCATCAGGAAGTTGCACGAATTTGCTGCCTCGTATAGGATCAAAACGCGTCACTTCTACGAGGAATTTTGCAACGCTATCGTAAATCCAACCACTCCCGCGATTCTCAGCCTCATCTAACCTTCGTGTGAGATCCTGAGCGATCTCATTCACTCTCTCCTCTAGATTGTCATGCACGCCCATAATTCCGATCGGGTCGGTACGGATGTGCATCGTCATCGTTTATTCACTCTCTCCTCTAGATTGTCATGCACGCCCATAATTCCAATCGGGTCGGTACGGATGTGCATCGTCATCGTTTGCCGACCTTCTAACGTCAGGCGGTGACAACGTATGGACAATACTAATTGCAATTTGATGGCTTGTTTATCCCACTGCTGAAAGTATTTTGAAAGGAAGTCGAGAAGAAGATCGTTCGACTCGAGAATAAATTTATCGGGATCAGCATCCTCAATATCTGCCTGAACATCTAAAGCGTAATTTTCAGCACCCCGATTCGCTGCTGTTTCCTCAAGGGTGAAACGTCCGATGCATTGTTGAACATCTGAACCTCCGCCAACCTGGTTTGCTGGGTGCAGTCTAGGTGGAAGGTGAACATCACGGATGTGTTGATTCAGGTTGAAGTGATGACGGAATGGTCCACGGTTGCAATGAGGACAATATTCCGCTCGGTTCTGAAATATCAGGAAAAGATGTGAATATTTTTCCTCCTCTTTCTCTTCAATGCGAAAACAGAGATAAAGCGTCTTACCGTTTCATCAAGAGGAATTTCGTCACGATAGATGAACATTTTGCCTTTGATTTGCTCTACGAAACTCGTGGATGGTTCAGGAGAGGTGAGTCGTCTTTTGGCAGGTAGCGATTCATCGCTGTTCTGCTCTTCTTTATTTTGTCCATGGCAATAACGACATCCGACAGGACTCGTTGACGTATTTGTCACCGTCGATAGCTGAAATATATGTAGGGACTTGCTGTATTTTCACAGAAAAGGCAAAAATAAATAAAAACGGCATCACGTACCTGGACGTTCTCGCATCGTCTATCTTCGAATGAATTATCAGGATGAGGTTTCGTAGTCCCTGTGCGGTGGATCCCATGCACGGCAACCTCGAGAGGAACTCCCTGATTGTGCGGTGTCGCATCTAACGGTGCGGGTGCACGAAGCAGACATAGACGAGAGTGATTTTGTTGGTTGTATTTTCGAGAGAAGCGTTTTCCACAATGTGGACATGGATAGACAGGACGCTCTTCCTACAATACCATCATCCTCACCATGATCACTATCGTAATCATATGCTAGAAGAATTATTACATGCGTAAAGATGTCACACTATACCGTACCTGATTCAGGTGTGTGCGTCGATGTCGATCTCGATTCCCTTTCTTACCAAATCGCCGCCCGCACTCAGCACATGGCCACTGCTTGCGATCCATTATTTGCATGCACACGCGCGCGAAGAAAGAGAGAGAGTGAGAAGGGGAAAAACAGGAGAGATGAGGGTGTCTGGTCTCCCTTCTTTTCCCTCATACCATCAGCTGTTACTGACTTTTCCCCCTCACGTACACACGTGTTAAATTACTTCTTTCAAGGGAATGCTCTCTGCTAGCGCTTGTTTGCTTGCTCTATGCCACGACTCCGTGCCGTCTCGCATCAGCAGTCCGTTAGAGAAATGTATTAAAACCGGAATTTTCTGCATGTGTTAAGATGAAGGGAAAACTCTGTTGTGTAATTGAGAGGGATGATCACGTTTATTTTGTTTCCGAAGGTTTCGCAAAAAAAATAATAAAACAAACAGTAATTTAAATATTATCTTGATTAATACAAAAGGTAGGTCACACCTCCCAGTGTTCCTAGATAAAAGTAGCAAATATTAACGTTAGGCAGTTTGTCGAAGAAAATTAAATATATATATTTCTGCAAACACTTACAACTTACAACGAAGCTAACATAACCTCCCTCTTCCCTCAGCTGCTCTTCATCCTCCTGAGTAACAAAGATGTCGTCTCTCACCCAACTAAAAGACCAGAGCATCAAATGTTATGCGTATTCACCGCTTCATTCAACCCTCAGATCATGAGGTATACGAATACATATGCGTTGCTTACATGACCCCCTGATCAGGTGATGGGTTGATGACTTCCTGGTCAAGTGTTGGAGGGTTAAAACCCTGATTAGGGATGGTTGCTTCTCGAGCGCGAAAGTAGCAGTACACACCCCCAACTCCCGCGATCAACAACAATGCAGCCAAACCGACAGCGAGGCCTAAAATAATTTGACAGACATTTGTAACATCCTATGCTTATTAAGAACCATAATGATTTACTATACTCACCAATCACGACTCCGGACGGGATGTTCTGAGAGGCGGACGAATCTGCTTTAAAAAAAAAAATTTTTTTTCACTAAGTCGAGAATAATTAAATTACTCTTTAATCAAAATGTATTCATATTCCTCGGATATACACAATACGAGTCTTATTGATTCACTCACGAATCATGACACCGGGCACTATAGAGGGCAACTCGGTTTCTGCAAAGAAAAGGCTTCCTTGATTATTTTCACAAAGCAGAGGAGTGTCACAATCACGTTTTCCTCAATTACCTTCACATGTGCCAGTAAAAATGACCGCATGGAATGCTTCTCGGTTTATGCAAGTCACATTCCATGCGGTCACCAGTCGCACCTCAGGGTAGCCACGTGTCAGGCATTCGAAGTCTAATGTTTTCTGGTCCTTTGGAATGGTGACAGTCTTGTTCCTGAAGGGAGGAAAAGGAGGAAGTCCCCCAACCTCACAAATAGAGATGACGTCTCCCACAAAGAAGAGAATGAGGAGGAGGCAAAACATGTTGCTCATCTACACAGTGATTGAAAAGATCATGTCATCCCGAAAAACGTTCTTCCTTCAACTACTTCCTAATGATCGTTCAAAAATACTTCACTACTAAAACTACGTCGTCAATCACTCATTCCACCTCTTTCCAGGACTTCGAACAAGATACTGTGTGTAAAATGTCTCTTGGTTTCAGGAACCTCGGGATAGTTTATTTTGCGATAAGATTCTGCGATACAGTGAAAGAGGTGTTTTCGAGGTTTCGGAGGGACTGATTCTTCCTGCAAGGGCGAAAACAACATAAAGTGTGCAGGATGCTTGCAGAGGACGGCATGGCGATGTAGACACGTGGGTTATGGATGTCCGCTCGATAACCAGCCTTTCGGCGATTCATTTCCTTCCTTTCCCATTTCAGTGAAAGGAAATAGACTTTGAAGAGAGATGCTTTATTAACAAGATTAAGCATGAATCAAAGTACATACAGATAAACATAAAAATCAGCCCGAGTTTGTATACATATGCAGCGATTGGGGGATCGAATAAACTTTTTTATTTCTCCCCTCCTTGCTCGACTGTTCCTGAGGAATGGCGGGAATCCTCGCCTTCGTCAACGATCAGCTCAGAAGAAGCGTCTGTAGGCGAGGAAATGAATCAGTAAAGAGTTCATTCGTTACCTGATGAAAAAAAAGGGAGACACCAGCCTTTCGGCGATTCATTTCCTTCCTTTCCCATTTCAGTGAAAGGAAATAGACTTTGAAGAGAGATGCTTTATTAACAAGATTAAGCATGAATCAAAGTACATACAGATAAACATAAAAATCAGTCCGAGTTTGTATACATATGCAGCGATTGGGGGATCGAAGACACTTTTTTTATTTCTCCCCTCCTTGTTCGACTGCTCCTGAGGAATGGCGGGAATCCTCGCCTTCGTCCACGATCAATTCAGAAGAAGCGTCTGTAGGCGAGGAAATGAATCAGTAAAGAGTTCATTCGTTACCTGATGAAAAATGAGGGACACGAACTTACCCGATTTGAAGGAACTCGTTGGAGATCGTCTGTTTAGAGCGTCGATCATCTCCTTTCCTTCCTTTTCCGTGTTAATGTCGTCAGGATTGTGAGAGTTCTCGTATGGGATATCCATGATGTTACGTCCTCTTATCAATGGGCAGTTGGGGGAAAACCTACGGTGTTCCTCGTACGGATTGTCTCCGTATTCCCAGTTGTGAATGATCAGACGGCAAAAAATACAAGCTGTCTCGTCGCGGATCCCGGTATAATATAGACCCCATCTTGCCATTTCATCAGTAGATACAATGTATCTCTTCGGGAAGAACTCAAACGAGCAGAGTCGTTTGGCATGGCACAGCATCTTCTTCCGGTTTGGGTTGAAATCTTCATCGTCAGATGGATAACCCTTGCCCAGAGCACTAGATGAAAATTCCACGTTCGAAAGACATTTGCCAGTCAGCACGGGGCACAGCCAATTCATTTCCTTATGACATTGGTAGACACTTGGTGGAGTAGAACATGCCTCGTAGCCGGGAGGTAAATGACGATGTCGCGGACGAGGGGTTAAAAGAGAGGGTGCCTTTAGTTCACGCTTAGCTATGACAATTGTATGCCATCCGTGCATGGAAATAATGGGCTTGTCAGCTGCGGTTGCAACTTAATTTTCAATTCGAATTCGGTCTGTTTTTTCACATGCGTTCTTCCTCTTTTGCACCCTCTCAGCCCTGTGAAAGAGGTAGGATTATCTCCTAGGTTAATATTATGCTTTTATTCGTTTTGCTAGGCGCTGAGACGGAAAAATGGGATGAACGAGAAGTTCAGTGGAGGATTCTAGAGAAAGAAGAAAGGATTCTGGGAAATGATTCCCGTCTCTTGCGTTACATCAGGGATTACGTTCTCATTCCACCGCTTCCCAGAAAGGTTCCTTACAGGCTTTCCAGTCCAAAGAAGCATCACTTCTCCCAGATTGGTGACCAAGTTACTTTTCTGAAAACGTACTTTGGGAACACTGTCAGTCTCTTGATATTGAACACCTAAGAAAGCCCATTTCCATTTCTCATGAGGTATGATAATACTTTTAGAGTGGTGGATTCTTCATCGAAGCAGGGGCGTATGAAGGCGAGGCACTTTCCAATACCCTCTGGCTAGAGAGGGAAAGAAATTGGACAGGTCTCCTCATCGAACCCGACTCCACAAATTTTGCATGTTTAAAACAAAAGCGAAGAAAGTCTTGGCTGGCTCATTCATGTCTCAGCCCTCTCCCATACGCCCAAAAGGTCAGTTTTCAATAAGAATAACATTCCTGTAATTAGTTTACACCGTCATTAATAACCTTGCATATTTGCAGATGTCTTTGGAAGGAGGGGGATCTGGTGGAAGAATGACACCTAGCAGACAGGAAAAGAATAGGCAGATGCATAACATAATTTGTTTTCCTTTAGAGTCTTTCCTTTGGGCTATTGGTCAATCCAAGGTAGACTTCTTTAGCCTGGATATTGAGGGATTAGATTACAAAGTCCTCTCCAGCATCCCCTGGGACATTCTCGACATCCGGGTATGAAATATTATTTTATATGATATTTATATATTTATAGCATACATTTTCCTTCCTCATTTTCAGAAATTATTACTTCATTCCTGATAAAGGTCCTGCTGGTGGAAACCTACCACGTAGAAAGAAATGATGTTCTGAGGTTCATGGCAGAAAAGAAGTATCGACATGTGCAAAATATATCTGCTGATGATGTTTTTGAAAAACTTCGGAATTGATATCATTTTCTAGTATTCTTTGTGTTCCTCTTCTTAATAAACGAACATTTTAGTCCTTGAAAAAGTTTATGATCCTCTTGAAGGCATCACTCTGCTGTAATGATTGCTTTGTGACTCCTTAATGTGTATTGAGAATTGAATAACTTCTTGACAGAAAGTACGTATCATGTATCGGTCTTGCATTAGGTTTAATATCTAAAATAAACGCTTATCTTCGTTTCTCACAACATTCCAGAGTTAGTGATATTTGAGACTATTTCTTTGGAAACACTCCTTCCTTTCAAGTAACACCTACGAATTACTATTTTGTATGAGTAACCTTCCATGGAAAGACGTCTCGCCCATATCTCCATGACACCGTCAAAAGACACCATTAGACGTTTTGCCCAAAAACCACGTTTCACACAAAAGGTAATACTTTCCCTCTTCAAGTAAGTACATTTTGGAAATTGTCAAATTAATCTGGGCAGCCTTCTGTACGATGCCGATGTACTGAGCATGCGCTCGAATTAGGCAGCATATACTGTATACTCACACAACGCCTTCAGGGTTGTGCTGGATTTTGGATTTTCAGGACAAGTAATGCTAGATACCCGATCGTCCATATGCTCGCGGTCAACAGAGACGCCCAAGTAGCACACTCACGGTGAATCAACGTTGAATCAACGTCCTTTCGCCAACGCAGCTAACATTGACACCACGTTGGTCTAAATTGAAAGTTCATTTTTACCAATACTGAATCAACGTTGACATCAACACTATATCAACATTGATTTAATGTTCAAAAGAAACGCAACAATTCAAAAAACGCAATTGCAACGTTAATTCAACATGTGCATATCAACGTAGACTCCATATTGAAAATTCATTTTCCTCAACGTTGAAGAAATCTTGAATCCACGTTGGTTCAACGTTGATAGGACAGGTCTCAACAATCTGTATTATTCACGCGAATGCGCCTTTTCATGACTGAAGTATCATTTTAATATCATCCCATTCGGCACAACAACGTTGTATCAACATTGAGAAGTGGTTGAAACGTTGAGACTTGGTTGAAGTTGAGAATTCCACGAAAATTTAACATCAATGAAATGCTAGTTATTCATAATTAATCGTATTTTCAGCACTTGGTGACTACTCGTGAATTAGGAAAGTCGTTCAGAGGCTATTAGGAGCAATTTTTTTTAAATCATATTCTCAATGTCATTTTTACGTGGAGTTATCCACATCATATCAACAGAAAATAGGTTCTAGGAATCGACGCGAGACGGCACCTAACCGCCGATTCGGAGTTTCTTACCCTGATGCCTTGAAATAAACAATACCCTGCATTTTTCATCCAGTACCCGATCTTTTCCCATTTACAGCATAAATTGGCTCGTTAATGAGAAAAGAAAGCAAGGGGGAAATTAACATGAATCTTATGTAAAATGAACGTAAACATGCTGTCGGGAATGCAAACGGGCATGTCAGTTTTAGGTGAAATTGACGTCAATTTCATATCACCGTTTACATATCACAGAGGTGACATTTATGCAAACATGTTGACATTATCTTGACAATGATTTGCGTAAAAATGATATAAAATGGACAAAAAATTTACAAACATCTTCGTAAAATTAACATAAACATGCTCTTTGGATGGTGTACCTAGTTTTACCATTTGAAGGCGATTCCTGCAACATATCGATGGGTTCTCTTATCTCGAAAACCGTTTGAGCTAGAGCGTCAAGTAAAATTTTCCTAAACTCATGGAAGGCACCAAGCACAACTTTCTTCAAGAAAACTGGAGTCTGAAGCGCGAAAAACCCTTGACCACTTCAGCTGGATTGTGAAATATACTCTGCCATGATGAGCACCTTGAAATATTAAAAATGGAATTAAGTCATTTTAAGTTTTAAAACCCCCCCATCAACTTTGACTTGAAGACAAGCAAAGAAGTCGATATCATCACCTGACCCCAGGACATAGTCATAAACACGAACTTTAATAGCTTCGCAAAAGGGATTGCATTCACAACAGGTGATCCAAGAATAAATGGAGAAAGATGGCGGCGCCCATGTGGCAGCCTTTTCTCCTGCTCTCTCTGCTATTTCTTCCCCCCTGCTGTTATGCTTCCTGTGAAAGTGTTTCTTCTTCAATTTTGGCAAGTCACAAAGCAAGATCTCCTTAGCATAAGATTAAAAAACCCACAAAGTGTTCACTAGAACATCGCAACCACGTTGGACGATCTCAGCATAGGCCTACATTAGTGTGACACCGAATCTGACACGGCTGGACCGGAGTCAAAAGGATCCAAGAAAATGAAGAGCCATAGGCCCTGACGGTAACGAAGCGGCCTCTGGAACGAGCTGATGAAGAGCTCTCCAAAGGACCTTGAAGGACCAATCATTCTGTCAACTAATGTACAAAGTTTACCACCAAAGATGAACATACTTGAGGACATGTTGAGAAGAAGCCAACTCAACTGCATCTCAGCCCTGGCCATACAAGAAACTTGGCCGACACCGCTGGTTGAGGACGCCACTGTCAACATCAAGGGCAACAAAATATTTCGTGCCGATAGAAAGCACTCATGTAAGAAGAAAAGAGGAGGAGCTGCCCTCTACATCAACTCTAGATGGTGTGACAACCCTCAACTAATACTAAGTGAATCCAACGACCTTCTGGACTGTGTAGTAGGGAAATGCAATCAATACATCGTATCATTTGTATATGTGAACATAGGCCCATCTACACACTTTGCTGTCTGGGCTGCTGACTGGTTGTACGACCATATTGTGATCCCATATGAGACAGCAATGAAGTGTTCATTGCAGGTGATATGAACAGAGCACCAATGGCAAAACTGCTAATCCCTGCTGGTTTCAGGAACCTAGTGAACTACACACGAATGGACATCTACCTAGATCAAGTTTGAACCAGTGACAGTTCGCCACTTCATCTCCAAGAAACTTGCAGGTATAGCTAATCACAGCACCATCCTTATTTGCCCCAAGCTTCTGGTACCGAAAAACAACGGCCCAACTCATACCTATGCGCGACACAAGCCTACTGTCAAGAGGATACTCTTGGTCACTCTTGGATACCGACCGCCTGAACTTTGAACTAAAATGCACTGACTGGAATGTTATCCTAGATACTGATGACCTAGATCAATGCCGTCAAATCTTCCCAGGATACCTGAAGTTCTGCCATCAACTTTGCTCATATCAGGTGACACCATCTGAGAGTCACAAGTTTCAGAACAACACACTCACGAAATTTACCAGAAGACAACGGGAAAAAGCCCTGTGAAAAACCAGACAGAAGAACTAAAGTACTGGAATTTTATCATTCTAAAAGAGACACAGCGGATAAATGAAGATATACTTCGTACACTCAAGCAGAGCAACGAATCAAAGGAGTACTGCAATCAAATGAGAAAACTGAATGTCCTTATTGTGGGGACGAAACCAACCAACGATGCTGACCTGGAAGACCTGAACAACTTCTTCTTGAGGTATGAGGATGACGCCCCCCCCCACCTGTACGAATCTCGTCAACCCACTAAACATACCTCACCTCACATGAAGACCACTATCCCCTCACAGACCATAAAGTGCTCTCTCTCCTAAAGCACCTGAAACCAAGTCAGGCCATAATCCCAGATGGACTAAATTCATACCTCCTTAAATCTTGTGCCCTAAACCTGATTGAGCCTCTAAAAATAATATTCAGTCACTTGCACAAAATATATCCGAAATCGGGTAAGTTCGTGTCTCTCATTTTTCGTCAGGTAACGAATAAACTCTTTATTGATTTATCCTCGTCTACAGACGCTTCTTCAGAGCTGATCGTTGAGGAAGACGTGGATTTCCACCATTTGTCCGGAGCAGACGCGCAAGGAGGGGAGAAATAAAAAGCAGTGTCCTCAATCGGCTCAACCGCTGCATATGTATACCAACTCGGATCGGTTAAAATATATATGTTCATCTGTATAAACGACACACTTTGATTCATGCTTATTCTTGTTAATAAAACATTTCTCTTTAAAATCTATTTCGTTTCATCGAAAGAGAAAAAGAAGGAAATGCATCATCGAAAGAATGTTTATCGAACAGACACGACGAGCTATGTGAAATAATATTTAGCCGCGAATCATTATTAAAATAAGCACGGTTTCTCCTCTCGATAATACAACAGGGTTTTCACTTTATCCTAACGTGTAGAAATTTCAGGCTTCAATACATTTCTCAGACGGATTGCTGATGCGAGAAGGCACGGAGTCAGGGCATGAGAGACAACGAGGCTATCTGGGAGACTCAGCTTGTAAAAGTAATTTAACATGTGTGTACGTGAGGGAGGAAAGTCAGTAACAGCTGGTGGTATGAGGGAAAAGAAGGGAGACCAGACATCCTCATCTCTCTTGTTTTTCCCCTTCTCACTCCCTCTCTCCCTTTCGCGCGCTTGTGCATGCAAATAATGGATCGCAAGCAGTGGCCATGTGCTGAGTGCGGGCGGCGATTTGGCAAGAAAGGGAATCGAGATCGACATCGACGCACACACCTGAATCAGGTATGGCATAGTGTGACATCTTTACGCATGTAATAATTCTTCTTGCATATGATTACGATAATGATCATGAAGAGGATGATGGTTTCGTAGGAAGAGCGTCCTGTTTATCCATGTCCACATTGTGGAAAATGCTTCTCTCGAAAATACAACCAACAAAATCACTCTCCTCTACGCATTCGGGTCGGCGGTGCGAAGAGGGGAATCGACTCCCGAGAGATCGGGAAGATCGAGTGACGAAATACGGCACCTGGACGGACGAAGCTCCGGCATCTCGTCGATAACGTCGCAGATATCGTCGGACTGCACGCCGTACTCGTGACGTCACCGTGACGTCACCGTCCTCGCTCGGACAGGCGCGCGTGCCATCTGCTCGGCGAGAGAAGCCATAAAAGAACTCGGGTAATTCCGTGGGGATTCTTTTCCGGCTCGCCCTCGCGTGATGGGCCTCGTCTGAGTCCCAGGCCCGATCCTCGACCGCCGACGACGAACTTCGCTGGACTGAGCTTCTCGGTTTTATCTCGTCCCTCCTTTGCTCCAATAAGTTAAAGCAACGATTCTTTATCTTCCGTCATTTTCGACGCCGTGACGACCCCGAATTCCCGATCGCAACTTCGCAGTATTTCACAGTCCTTTTATTCTACTGGAGATCGGTACACCTTGGAGAGCCCGAAACGATGCCTTCGCCCGAATCAGCACGTGTTTCGGTACCGAAAGCGGATTCTTTTCGGGATTGGTTTCCGGCACCACCTCGCAATTCACTACCTTGATATCGTCAAAGAGCTGACGAATAAGTTACATTCAAGTACATTAGCACGTTCACTTATCGACTTTCGTACTCGCTTTACGGAGCCGAACGTGATTTTCACATTTCCATCCACATTTTGGAATTACCGTGCGAAAGAGCTACCTTTTGGTGTCTCTCGTCGGGGACTAGTATTTTGCTTGCAACAAACTCATTCGCAAGTATCTGCCATTCCTTGTCATGATTACAATTACTTTGTGAGTGCTTCGATGAAAAGGCTCGAGCAAAGAGAAAGCACTCATCACTCCTCCATATCGCATCAGCGGAAGGATCATTTTCCATCATTTCCCGCGAGGAAAGGAAGGCGAACTCGGGAAGGCGCATTTTGCCGGATGTGGTTTTTCGCGTCTCAGGATATGAGCGAGGCAGCGGAGGCCACGCAGTTTGGCTTTGGGAGCGTGAATACATAGGGAAAATATTAAGGTACAATATTAGTATTAGATATAATTAAATATTGCCTTTTCACTTTATTGCCGACATGTTCATCAATTCAAGGAGATCGAATCAGGGATTTAAAAAAATGTCTGAAGTGAGAACAATAGGACCGATCAGGAAAAGACACTATTCAGTGTTCAGACGGTGACAGTCCGACTTCGCGTTCAGACGATAATGACGATGTTCATTCACGTTCCGATCGATACATTTCTGAAAAACTTTTTACCGAGGGAGTCAAAATTTTCGTTTTCGATCTGTCGTCGATTTCTACGCAGCCGAGGTCTGCATCGCTTCCTCGTAACTTGGGGGCAGGTCGGACTTGAATTTTCTCGGTAACTGGAGCCCGAATCGATTATCGTTCTTGTTGAATTCTTGCAAGTGCTGCACTCTCGACGAAACGGAGAGAATTTCAGGCCTCCCAGGATACGTTCGATGCGTCTGAGTCCAAGACGCATGACCGAGGTGACGAGGGGCGACCGGGGAGTCAGTGAGGACGACCTCCACCATGTCGGGCAGAAGCTGGGCTTTCGGGGAGCTGGTTTTGAGGACGAAGGGCGGGATTCCGTGTTCCGGCTCTGGAGAGAGCGTCTTCGAGTACCAAGATTTCCCCGGACCATGTCCAGGGCATCCCGGTGCACGTGGCATTTCATCCCCTTTGCCCATTCTCCAAGGACTGTCGCATCCTGGGGCATCGCCACATACCAGGTTCGATTCGGAGTTAGAATCGACCCCCCTTTTAGGAATAGGTATGGGACTTTCGGGAGCTTGTACAGTTCCGGATCCACTCCTGCAGCAAGGCACTAAAAAAATGTATGATGAGCATGGAGAGTAAATCAAACTTGACCAAAATTAATAAAACCAATGATACCCTTTTTTAAGCTCGAACTCTCCTGGCTATTTTTGGAAAGTCCTTTCGTTTCGTGTCATGTCATCGAAGGAAATATCGCTATCTCCTCTTCAGGAACGTGTAGAGCCCGTCTTTCAGTTTGGGATCTTATATGGGAATAAATTTCCAAGAAAGTAGGAAAAAATGACGGGGGGAATTAAATGTGGATTTGCGTATGGAGTGATATCAGGAATGCTTTTATTATAAGAAAAATCGTTAAAATCGGGCAGAAAATCCGCGACCGAAAGAGATGAGAATTCCCCCGAGTCGGGAGATTTTCGGCCAAAGAGTCAAATTTGCGGGTCGCAAGGACAGGTAGCATGTCGTTTCCTCACCGTCTTTCGATGTTCAGGCCGGCGATGGAAGCGAGCCACACGAATCCAATGTTTTGGGCTCCCTCGTAGACGGTGGGGAGAAACTTTGATCTCGCCTGCGGGATCCCGAGACCTGCAATGCCGAACGCTCGCGGCGGGTCCCGGAGAGAGACGAAAAAAAAAAAAGGAACGGAATGGGTGAGGGTCCGAGTCCCGCAATCCTAAGGGGCAAAGCATCCATCGACCTGGATGGAGGAAACGAGCCTTTTCGTTCGAAGACTCGACCGGCCCTGCCGGCCACCCTCTTCAAGTCCAATTTCATTTGAATTTCCGTGGAGTAGGCGTGGAAATCCCGATGACCTCCGTCCACCGTGGATTCCCACGGCAAGCGTGGTGCTCCCACACTCCGAACGGGTGGCGGCTCGTCGGCACGCTCGAGCAGAAAAATGCATCTGAGGAATTTTCCCTTGTTAGTGTGAAACCGTTTCTTTGCTTCACCCGGCATCGTGCATACATGATGCTGGGTGCAATAGGTACTCGAGAACCGTACGTATTACTTCCAAGCGAAGATGCGAAACCGAACGAAATTGCATCCATCGTGCAATATCACGTTCGTTTTCGGAACCACCTTGGTCCTCTTCCACATATTTACGATTCTGAGTCCATGTATAAGGAAGGAAAAGCCTCCTCTACGGATGGGATGAGCAGGGGTGAGCATTCCCCCGAGAGGAATCCTTCTTCAGACAGGGGAGGGAGGGAGAAGAAACCAGATCGTGAACGACTTTATTCAGAATCGACTCGCTTCGTTGACCATTTTCCGGCGATTTCTCCCGCCCACGGCCCGATACAATCGAAGAAGCCATATACGTGGTAGAGGTCTCACTTGAGGAATCTTTGGACACTTTCTCCATGAAATAAGTGCCATGATACGGCCAGAGAACGAAGCCGTCGTCATCATGGACAGCTGTATGGCTCACCGAAAGTTAATT